GTTTAAAAGACGTTGTCGATAATATGGAAGTAATTCTTATCTGATCTTGTTCTCAAGCGTAGACGTGCTCTTCTCTTGATCAGCATTTTCTGCAGACATTTTGAAAATCTCACACAATATTTTCTTTAAAATTTCTTTAATTGTTACTTAATATTTGTTTTGATGCGAAGTACTTTAACCTACTACTAAAGATAGAACATAGAATTTTACTGAAAAGTTTTTCAATATTCTTTTTTTCTATTTTTCTTTTATAAAAATAGAAAAAAGATCCAACAAAACCTAATAACCAAACTCCCCCGAGTTCTTAAAGCATGAAGATGGATTACAAGTCTATCTATAGGTAGGTGAATACATTTTCCTATTCATCTTGTAAGAGCACAATAATTCACTGATGTTATGAAATAAGTCACTATAAACCGTTAATACTATCAAAGTCGCTGAACCTTCAAGGAGGCGGATTATTAAAATCCCATAAATTCCCCGGATCGTATTCGGGGAGATAATGCTTAATCCTTTTTTCTTTGGAATAATTTGCAGTATTCCAATCTGTACTCGGAGTCATCCCTTTATCCAGTTCTATACATGCCTCCGAAATTCCGATCAAGTTCCGAATCCTTCCGAATTCACGGCCCCCTATTCCACGTCGGCGGGCCATCAAAGGGATCAAATTTTTAAAACGAAATAGTTTGCTTTACTCATTTTTATTCAGGCGATGTTAATGATATGGCGTTTTACGCGTCAACAAACGGGATATTAGCATTGAAGTAATATTACTACGTGTACATTATAACTCAATGGATATTTAAAGCGTTATATCTTTTCTTCTTATTGATTTAAAAGTGAGATTTTAGAAATAAGAAATAGAAAAGAAACTTTTTATCTACTTAAATTAAAGCTTGTCATTATTTTTGGACAGCCAAAAGTAAGAGGCTTTTTCAACGTAAGAATTTGTCGGTAGCGTATATTCTTTCTAGTAGCATATCTTGCAATTGCTAATGTTGACGCTTCATTGCTTTGAAATTCGAAAGCGATTACTACAGTGTTAATTTTCACGTTCATGGCAACACTGCACGCTGAATATCACTAACGACCTTTGATTAAATGCTGCAAGAACATCGTTAGTGTGGCCACACTAACCTGTCAGCGAAAATTTTGAGTCCCGCCGTCAGTCCGCACGTCTAAATAGTGTCACGATTTCTCTAGATTTTTACTGTGTTATATATTTTCTATACCTACGTTAGAAAGACAATGGTTTTTTAATCTATAGTTTCACATAAACTATAGCTAACGTAAATAATGACTGAGAAAACCTCATTAGTAAAATATTGCCGAGAAAAGTTTTGGACCCAACAAATACTTACGGTAACTTAAAATGCCTTCTTCTTTTCATACCTTCATACATTACACATGCGTTTGTTGCACACGAGTAACAATAATCACTTGAGGGTTCAACATGAAATATAATCTGGTTTTTCAAATGATCTAGGTAGAATTAATAATACTAACACACGCATGAATTACACACGCAACACACACTTGAAGAGCACTGTGTTATTTTTTTGTATAAAATTTAAATATTAGTGTCTATCCACTTAATTATGGCTGCCACAGAATACCAGCGTTATGCTCTAGGTCCTGACCTAGAGTTGACACATGCTGACTTACTTGACTTATGGTCCTATGTCCCCTAGATGGGGCAGAGGGCGTCCACAACAGTCCTCCATCGCGTTCGGTCTTGAGCTATGCGTTTAATCTCGCTCCAAGTCTTGCCGATCTTCTTCGCCTCGTCTGCCACAGTGCGCCGCCAAGTTTGCTTGGGGCGACCACGTTTGCGTTTCCCTTCCAATCCAGAGCCTGCTTGGGGATGTGATCGGGGTCCCTTCGGAGAGTGTGGCCAATCCAGTTCCACTTGCGGCGCTTGATCTGCTGGTCGATCGGAATTTTTCGAATCGGACACATGCTGAGTGGCTGCCATTTTAGTTCAAATTTATTTACTTATATAATAACTATGTTATAAGTAGTCTAAGGATGTTTAGAGTAAATAAAAATATTTTCTTTCTTTCTTTCTTTCAAATAAGGGGGCGTCCATAAATTACGTGAGACAATTTTGGCCATTTTTCAACCCCCCCGCCCCCCTTGGTGAGATTTGGTGAGATTTTGCCTGACCCCCTCCCCCACCCCCCTAATCTCACGTGATATTTAGTAAAATGCCTATTTTGCAATGTCTATGCTTCGAGTCTATTAGATTTATATGAAAAAAACAGTAACCCAGTGTCGTGCCACGGGCAGTGCGGGGTTCCGTAGCTTCCCGTCGTTTAGTAANGGGCAGTGCGGGGTTCCGTAGCTTCCCGTCGTTTAGTAAGACAAGCAATTGCTTCAACCTAGGACCAGTTTTTTGATTCATAGTTAAAATAACTAATTGTTAAATTTTGCTACTAATGGTTAAATATTAATAAAATGTAAACGAATAGTTAAAAAATGTACTAAAAGTCAAGTTAAGAGTAGGCGCACACCGTTGATTTTTCGTCGGCCGATAGTTTAGTCGGGCAGTTGATCAGTATGGGCATGTATGGGAGTGCGCACACTACGCCGATTCGATTTCGTTACTTTAACTACGAATACATACTATTTTCATACGTACCTACCTATGTAATGCTATTTTTAGGGTTCCGTAGTCCTGACAAGGAACCCCAATAGTTTCGATTTGTATGTCTGTCTGTCCGAGGTTTCGCTTGGAAACTATTGGCTCTGGGGAGCTGTAATTTTGTGAAGGTATGTATATTAATCACGCCGACAAAACGGTAAAATAAAATTTTGAAGAAAAAAAATTTTTCTAACGTAGGGCTCCCCTGCATGTAAAGTGGGGATGAATTTTTTTAAGTAAAACTATAACGGTTAAGATACATTACTTAGTTTAAGAGAAATAGTCATTTGACTCATCATGTATTATACAATTTCTAACCAGTAAAAATTACTTAGAAGAAAATATGAAAAGTGACTTTAGATGAAGTAATTGCTTGCTTCTGAAATATATTGTGGTAACGACAGACAACTACGGAACCCTACACTACAAACCTGGCCATTTTATTACGCAATAGCGATGCCGATGACGTTTTTTTTTTAATTTCGATATTTCTTAAATTCGACATTTATTCTGCATCTTTAGTGTTCACAAATGCAGATGGAGGCATTTTTCGTTTAATTTGATTAGGCGGTTTAGAATAAATTGTCATTATCATCATAAAAGAAATATTTTTTTTTCTTCAATAACCCAGTTTTTTGGCAATTTTACTCTATTTCTTGCGGGAAAAATTACGTGATATTTTCCGAGACCCCCCCTCTCCCCCACGTGAGATTTAGTGAGGTTTTCGTTGACCCCCACCCCCCCCTAAAAGTCTCACGTAATTTATGGACGCCCCCTAATTGTATCGTAGGTTCATTGAATTCGATTCGATTGAAACAGATATCGATAGTCGAGTGTTCTTCCCAGCAGCACTTCGCAACTGTGTCTGTACCTACAAGCATGTTATGCTAATGGCAACTCGTTGCTCTGTTTCCTAGGCTTTGATTTATGTGTGACGTTTAAATGTCTTTATTATGCGATGACATCTCGCTATACGAGCACGATAGAGTTTGAGAATTGCGTCTGAGAGAAATATTCTAGCTGTGGTCGTATTTTAAAGTTGATATTTTCCGCAATATTTCTACCTCTGTACAGGTGAGGTTATCGCCTTAGTGTCAGGCTTTACGAGCCGTCATAAGAGCTTTTCTATTAACCCTTAATTACTCGCATAAAGAATCTTACATAACTGCTCGCATGGGGTCACAGAACTCACAGATGACCCCAAATTGTGTGAGTAGTTTTTAATACATACTGAAATATATAAGTAAATGAAACTGTATTATTATAAAAATTCTTTATTTATTCTTTAATATCTATAGGTAATAACATGAATTTCTTACTAATTATACAAAAAACAAGCTAAATCAAAATAATTGTCAATAATTAACAATTTGTACTTAGGTATACTGAGATCATAGGTAATAATTAGGAACTCTCCAAATCATTCTTGTTACACTGTTGACAGTATATTTCAGAGTGATCATTGCACACAAATCTTGTACATTTCTTGCATTTTCGATTCACTTGATTGTGCTTAGGATTGCTCGATCTCATTAGCGCTATCATGATCACTTTTTGTTATTTCATCTAACTCTGGCTCAGAACTCGACCCTCCAACTTCTTCTTCATCAGAAACATCTTCCAACCATTGCACAATTTGCTATTTTTTCCTATCTCTACTAACTCTGAAAAAAAAAAAGACAAAGTAGTAGTAAAACTGAATTTATTAATATTTTTATTGTTTAGAGCTGTAAAACACATTTATAACAAACATTTATTCACTGAATATACAATAACACAAATATTATTCATTATACACAAAATAAATACATAAAACAAAAAACTTACCTCTTCCAAAAAAGTTACGTAATTACTCGCATGGGGTCACCACTCAAGAGCGCAGCGACGCATCCTTCCACTCCCGTGAATTAGTCGCTATCAAAATACAAACTAAGACGTGTTTTATGAAGCTACCGGGGGCGCGGAGGAAATCGTGCCGCGCCAAGTGCTTCATTTTTGAATCCGAAAATGCTTTGACCCCATGCGAGTAATTAAGGGTTAAAAAGCTCGACGTACTTCACGAAGCACGGAATCACACTTATTTTTAAACAATGAGCTGATCTAAGCCTCAAATAGGTACTAAATTATAAACAAAAGTAAACCGATAAACTTTGAGTCGTAAGAGTTTAATTTAATCACTGGACCTACTAAGAAAGAAAAGTTTTTAATTTAGGTACAAATATTATTTCAATCTCTTTATTAAAAAAATATATATCTATGACGTTTTAAAAAAACCAATGTACTGTTTCCTAGTAATAAAGTTGTAATATGCTGAATGCCTTTTTGCTTGGTTATTAAATAAAGTTCTTCTTTCCAGGTCACATTAAGAGCAGAACCATCTATTATGACTTAGGTAAGTCATTTTTATCTTATCATTTATATTTTTTATTATTAGGTATAAAGAAACCAAACCTACGCAAAGCCGCTACAAATTATTGCTTCCCATCTGTCCACTTTGAGTGGCGTACAAAAAATATAATTTATGTAACATAACAAAGACTTACGAAAGTGGAACTCCATAACCAATGTATCGACTTTCAATTAATGCCATATAAGTCAACTTCGTAACTATGCCGTGCCCAAAGTATTTTTCGCGATAGGCAAAATGCCAAACGGCGTTGTAAATTATCTCAGACAAGATCGGAACTGTATATTACCACACTGTATTACAGAGATGCTATTTTTACAAGCCACATTTTTCTTACAAGCAATTTTTCTTACTATCTATCGTAGACACTTAGAATTCGTAGTCAGCTGAAGTGCTTAAATTATGTAGGTTTTTTCCCCAAGCGCGAAGCGTGGGGAGTGTAGGCCAAATCCCCCTGTCCTCCCACGTTACTGGATCCTGACGCGCGCTGAGCAGCAAGCCAAGCGCCGTCTGAAGTCCTCCTGCGGACCTCTGGGGTGCCCCACAGCAGCAGTCCACTGCTCGTGGAGAAGGAATCCACTCCTTAGGACGCTAGTACTTCCTCACTAGCATCCGGCTCGAAGGACCATGTATAACCCTCCCGTAGTGAGAGGGTGGAATTCCCTCACCCTGTGCACTCCTAGCCGTTATCATTACTATCACTCACTCCTACACTGACTAGGGGTACTACTAACTAGTGAATCAACTTTCCTCGGTTATATATAAAGTGCGGGCAAAAAATCTGGACACCGCGCGCTAATATTTTGCCTTAATCTAAGAGGTGCCATCTATTGGCCAAATTACATGAACTAACGTCATCTAGCGCGCGGTGACATCTATAGGTAAACCACAAAACCTTAAACTTACGCCAACAATTTGCCTCTGGTAAATTGGAGAGGGTCGTGCTCCTGAAATGGAGACTATATGATCTGATGATGATGATGAGATTTTCGAGGCTTACCCGCATGAATCACAGAAAGGCTATCGAACGGGCATTCCCCCCTTCCATAAACTGGCTTAAAAACTATCATAATAGGGTATTTGACACCACCAATCAATTGACGTACTTTTTAAAACTGTCAAAACGACACTCTCCCATAGATTTTGTACGGCAATACTAGCATGTAACGTCACAATTTTATCAACTCAATGAAACTCCTTTTTTCAATTATAATGCAACCAAAAATCGTAATTTACAGGTAATTAAAAATTAATTAAGTTTTTAAGACCAGAAAGAAGTGTCTTTTTAAAAAAGTTGTGGTTTAGAATTATTGGCGAATGGTGTCAAATACCCAATTATGTTCTCATATTACTATATTCCTAAGCCTTCCTCATGAATCCCTCTAATTGGTGTAAACTGCATTAAAATTCAATGAACAATTATCAAGTGTATCGCTACAGATGCGGCAGAGGACATTGTTTCATAGTAAAGTAGTTTTTAAGATGCGCTAATTACTATTTTTCTGTTAACCAAATAACTTTGTTAACTTGCGTTGAGTATGATTTTTTTTATGCATAACAAGGCAGGTATTTGACCACAATCGTACCTGATGTTAAGTGGAATGCAGTCTAGTATATGCCTATTCACTCTGGCCTTGAAAAACAGCAGCAGGCAACGAATTCCAGTCCCTAGCTGTTCGCATTATAAAAGAGTCATCGAAACGCTTAGTGCGAGCTGGTGGAATGTCAACAATATAGGGATGGTACGCTAACCTGTGTCTGGTTCCCCGGTGATGGAAGGGGAATAGTCCAGAGGACTTTGGGGATCACTTAGCGTCCTGTCAAATGGCACTGCCGAAATCACTGGGATTTTTTTCCTCGAATCTTATAAATAAATGCCCTAGATGTAATATAACATTTCACATTTATAAACCAGCTTTATGAATAAGGTTCCATCACCCTTGATATTCCGTAAGACTTACGACGTTCGTACATATTTAATTTCATAAATATCCTATATGAAAAATCCCGTACATCGACTTTCCCTCCGAGCGTTGTAAGTACCACATCATTTCAAATGCTTAAGTCGTGGTGACAAAATAACCGACCGTTTCAAAATGGATCCTATTTATTCACGAATACGGCACAATATGCTGGGAAGAATGCTTTAATATTATAATCTTGAATGTTTTTATAGAGCAGTAAGATAAAATGGTTCCCCATTTGAGGAGATGGCAAACATTTCTTTAGATTTGTTGGTACAGGATTCTGTTTCAATTCGGGCGTCGGAACGTTTTTGCGGTTAAATTACGTTTTTGAGAGAGTCATTTGTTATTTTCTTTGATGGCCGATGCTGTGTTATTGGCGTTTATTGTCGGGGAAGATAAATTCAATTGTTATTGTGGAACAATTCAAACAAATGACTGCGTAAACGACTGCGTTCTATTGTTTATTTTTAATGTGTTTTTATAAATTATTTTATTTTTTGTTATTTGGCACAAGTTCGGCAAACAAAGCTTGTGTGCATGTTCATTTATATTTATGTTTTAAAAAATAACTTTACTTTGAAATAAATAACTGTAACCAAAAAAGAACCTATTTAGAGACTACTGTGGAACTATTTTGTCAAGGTATATTGCCAAAACCTTTTTATGGGATATTTTTGTTACGTAAATGGCTGATATGACATAAATTTAATTCAGCAGCTTATTTATTTCAGCCATCAAACATGGCTGTCAGTATTTTCATGATGTGTACCTGAATTTCCAACGGCTATAAATACTATCGCAGCTACGTATGACGTAACACGGAAAAATTAATTTTTAAAGGATTTTGCGTTCAGGTTTTTTACGTTCACTTTGGTGAATGCAGCCCGCATCATTTAGCAAGAACATTATCGGTTTCTATAGTCATTTTATATTGACGCGGTCTAACCGTGCGGGCACGAGCAAAGAACGCAAACCTCACTGCTGACAGATCGCCTGGTCACGACTGCTGACATTGTCTTGCCTCCATAGCTGACCGATTGTCTTGACCGCAGACCGTATTCAGTGTGGCAAATCCTTAAGTTTTTATAGAATTTCGTAGTAAGAATATGTGCCGTAGCATATTAAACTACGGCGTTAAGGTTGCTACGAGAAAATACTTCCAAGATTGTTCGCTACGAACTCTGTTGTAGCAATGTATGAATATGACTGCCATTCTCTCGGAGTTATTCGTTGTCACTTCCTTTGTAAAATGAAATTAGGTTCGCAAACAAAGTGTATTTCAGCGAAATTGAAGTTGTTGAGGTTTATGTATAAAACAAACGTTACGAGGAACTTTGTTATGGAAGCGAGCGAGCGTGCCACGGCAAAGAAGGTGTTCTAAATTAAATTGTTATCAATTGTAATTATATCTTTTAAAGGAGTCCACAACTTGCAATACTCAAAATATCAGCCAGATATTTTTATCTGAGACTTGGCTATGCTCACGTAACATTGGAAAATGTAGAAACACATATTAGGGATATGTGTTTCTACATTTTCCAATGTTACGTGAAGAAGAATTCAAAATTCGTAGTCAAGCATATCAGACTACATTTTTTGTTGTTTTAAACTTTCATGGTCACTAACACAATAATTTTATTATTGACGGGCCATGGTGCTTGCAACAGCGCCGAAATATCGGAAACTCAAAATTAAGGTACCTACATGGTAGCAATCCCGTCAATAATAATTATTACATGTTTGTTGAAAAATTGCCCCTAGATTCCATAGTGTAGGTATAGCTTTATATGTTGTCGTCTGTATGTACATTTGTTCCAAAAAGGTTACCTAAACTTTTACCAATCATAAAACAGGTTCTTGAACACACAATTGAATACACGTAGGCGTTTACACTGGTAGTTTTGTTATACCTAAATGTACGTACTAAAGGTTTTACGAAAATCCTTCCCTAAAGGGATGAAATGGGGGTTGGAATGCTGGCTGGGCATCTGAAATGTGCGTGAACGATCCCACTGGGAGGGAAGTTTTCTTATCAGTTTTTGAAAAGGGTTAACAGTCATAGTAAGTCACGTTAAGCATTGCTTTTTATTTTGACTAAAATCGGCATTTTTAAGGTAAGTTTAAATAAAGTATTTTCCACAAAGTGTAAGTCATAAATTAAATACCACAAAGAATAGGTATTTATTTTTGTTGTAGTTCCTACCATAAAATAACAAATCTACTCTACCAATTTTGAACCATATTAGCTCGCTTCGCTTTAGCAATATGTTAAAATAAAAATAAAACCTACATAATTTATTACATAAAAGAAATGAGCCAATTCAATTTACAACAAATCATATAATCAACAGGAATTCTATGAAAAATAGGTATTCGAGTCGGTCATTTCATCCAACGATTCCAGGAATGAAAAAATAAAGGAAATGAAATTTAAGAAGATCTCGCTCGTTGTTGGGGGAGATATTTTTGCGGTTATACATTGCGGTAATAATCTGAGTAAGCGAGAAGACGAAATTAAGGGAAGTGATGTTGGTGACAGATGAAAACTTAGGCTGGGTTTCACCATCTTACTTAACGTTGACAAATTAATGTCAAAAATCTTTTGAACTCATCTCAAAGTCAGGTGGTGCTTAGGCTCAGTTGCATCACCTTTAACTGCCTCTGTGGTCTAGTGGTAAGATCACCTGCTTCACGGATTCGATTCCCAGTGGGGGCAGATTTTTTTGTTCGCTTTGGTTGGTGGTAGGGCTTGTTCTAAGTCCGCCTGGCTAGCTACCACCATCTTACCTAAGTCTGTCGACATAACAACAATGTTAACAGCATTGTTGTGTTCCGGCAGTTAGAGGTAAGATAGCCAGTTCCTCTGTGGTTAAGGTTTCCGGGTGAAGCTCGCTTCCACCTTCGGCCTGATCATCACTTACCATCAGGTGAGATACAAGCCAAGAGCTTCCTCGTTGTGAATTAAAAACCTTATTGTAATCGTACTAATAACAATAATTGGTGCTTTTTGTATGGAGT